ACACAATTCACAGTAACTTTGATGCACTGAAACAGTCAACTTACGTGGTCTATGTTTTTGTTGTTGAATAGGAACAGGTCCTTTCACTGCATTATCTCCATGGAATTGTCCTGGTGAGTTTGTTGCATGTTCAGTCTCATGAGGTAAATCTCGGTCCCTGTTTGCACCAAACTGTTTTCTCAGACCTCGTCTGCCTAAACTGCCAGTAGCTCCTGAAGAACACAAACACAGTGATTTTTCATTATTTATCTGTAGTTAAGTTAACTATACTGTCAGTGACTTGGACTATATGATGTTGAATGACTGGATGACAGTAAATAATGAATTTTGGAAGGAAGTTACCATGCCATAATTTAAAGTAATATCCATCACTGGTCTAGAGTAACTGAATAAAATCACGACGAACCTCAGTTGGGATCAAGTCTGTTACCATCTGAGCAAAATCTGCTCAGTGAAAATATAATGAATCTTCATTATTACAACAGCTAGCGAAAGAGTTTACTTTGGAAAAGTTACCAAGCAGCCATGTAAAATCCTAATAACTTATGCACAATAAGAGTACTTAGACTAACAACAGCACATAAGGATGTGTTCCTAGATTAGCACAAAGCAAGTACTTACCCACAACAGGTAATACAGGCTCATATCCTTCTGAGAATCTGCTGGATGGATGACGGAAATCTTCTCTACCAAAGGTTAAGGTTCCATTGTTTTCAATCTTCGGCCGAGGAGGTGATGGCAAACGACTACCTTCCATATTAACAATGCTGACATATCCAGGCCTGATACCACGAGGTAACATGGTGAAACGTATAAAGTGCTTCTTGCCATGAACAATAATGGGTTTTGGAACTCCACCAAATTCAACTTTGATAGGCTGTCCATTAATTAACACAGTCGACAAAGCTTTGACAAAATGAAGTACGTGGGGTTTATTCTCAATGTCAAATCTGAAAAAACAACAAAAAAAAATGATAGTTGGTTAGTGTATAAAAACTTGCACAAAACCATTACATTTATTTGCAAACTTTATGTACTGCATCCCAGAGTTCTTAAATTACTGGGTTTCTGGACTTTGTCCAAACCATCGTCAGAACCCTTTATACTCGTAATGTACAAGAATTCTTGAGTTCTAAAACTGGGGTATTTGAACTATGTGTGAAACTTACCAAGAAAGTTAAATTTATGGGAAACATTATGCCGAGTTTAAGAAATGTAAATAATACAATGACAAAGTTACTGTTTCACAATCATCACTTAAAAGAGTACGAAGCTTAGAGAGTAACCGCAAAAAAATTAAGGACCACATGCTGAATGACAACAACATACAATATTTTATTGTATTTTAAGAACCCATACATTTTCACCACAGTTGCATGCATAATCTTGGAAAAGGGAATAAGAAATTAATGTACTTTCACATAAATAAGGAATGCATACTTAATAAGATAACACAAATTAAAAAGTAAACCGAGTATTTAACAATTTTGTATCCCTAGCCCGTCAGGAAGTGACTATTTTACTTATACCAACAATTCTTCAGATTTCAAATTTTGGATTATCTAGGAAGCGGAGGATGGCCGGCCGGCCTGCCTGCCCCCCCCTCCATCATTCACGATTACCTAAATTTTGATAACGCATCAAACCGATTCTTTTCTCACATATCAAACTCAGTTTGTATGTTTGCTTGTTATGTTGGAGGAATGTATCTTCAGGGTGGAAAAACACGCGAGCAAGGAACTAGTGTCTTACATGGCTCCACATCCCCGAAGATGGCATTCTTCAGTCATTGCTGTGAAAACATCAAATCCTATATAGAACGCTTCTTACTTTTCTTGATGAAAAGATCATGAATGCCCAGGAATTATTAATAACTGAGAAGGGTCTAGATACACCATCCCTGTATTTTGTCAAATGTAAGGAAAATGTGATGCCAAGCAATCTCAGTAATGTCTTTTGATAGTTTGTTATGCCAATAATATAATGAAACAACATGTTAAAAAACAATCAAATTTATCTAATTTATTTCATTATCAGACATACTTATATGGTGACTTCACGTTTTATTATGTCTTTTTGAAACAAATTTATAATCTGATGTATTCACTTAGAATGGACTGAATCACTAATAACACATCCCCCTACAAGTAACCTGAAATTAATTTCTATTTATTTATTTATTTTAAATGTGCAACATAAAGCACTTACCTTTGTGGTTTGGCATCCAAGAACACTGGTACCATAGTTTTGGCATTAATGATTAAATTGATCTTGCCAGCAACCAGATCTGTCCGCTTCAACAGGCCAATTTTAACTTTAGGAGGTGGACCCTCCAACCTCACAACATGCATCTTCCCATCAATTTCAATCGTAACTGGAGGACCACCAAAGAAACATTCATACCACTTGCCATCAACATAGAGTTCACGAGTTGGTGCACCAAGTCGTATCCTGTGGATGAAAACATTAGGTGACCTTAAATACAATCAACCACTATTTAGGTTGTATATGTATGTATAATTAGGAGGGGGAAGGGAGAAGACTAAAGGTATGAACAATGTCCAGTACAACAGGGGTTGTGGTTATATTTCAATTCAGATGTAACAGCTTCTATAATTCTGGTGGCAATATTGTAACTCTGAGGTAAATGTCTGCAATATACAATATTAAAATTTGATACTGTAACCACATACCATTGAAAACAATACCTACAATAACAAAGACTAATAAAAGGAATAATTAATATGTTAATTACTAACCTGTGCATACTTCCATCAATGATAAACTCTCTGTATGTATCATTCAAGGAACAGAGTATAGACTCTCTCTCATCAAATGTGACTGTTCGTGCACCTCCCTGGAAACCAATTTCTCGTGGGTCATCCCACGCCAGCATCACTACAGCGGTGTCACCGTAGAAACGTAGTTCCCTAGGCACACCATCTACATTAATAGTCCTCATTCTATCCTGTGCTATGAGCTTGAGAATCATAGGATCTGCTGGTGGCACTTCATCATTTCCACGTGCCTGCTGCTGCTTCAGCAAAGATGGAGCAGGTCCCCGAAATCTGTTATCCGAACGGCCATTAAAACGTGTATTAGACCTAAAAACGAAGAAAAATACTGGTGAAAAACTTGAGTTCATGTACAGGGAATGGACAAAAATATGGAAACACCTCGTGAAATGCATGCCTGAATTGAACTGTTTATTTTAGCAACGTTTGTAGGTCACACTGTCGTTATCTGCCCAACACCACTACCTGTACAACCTCCGAAATACGTTGCAAGCTTCATTTGTTGTCGAGACAGTGTTCTGTGCAATTTTTTGTGCATCATGTCAGAGCTAACAGAATTTGAATGCAGGCAAATTATTGTGGCCCATATGGTAGGTGCTTCCGTAACCAAGGTAGCCGAGGATTTTGGTGTTTCACGAGGCACGGTATCCAAGATTATGACCACATACAGGAGGACTGAAAAAACCACATCCGATAAACACTAGCGTGGACGGAAATCTGTGTTGAGTGATCGAGACAGACGAACATTGCGTAGGATTGTAACGAAAAATAAGACTACAGCTGCAAAAGTGACTGCTGAACTGAATGTCATGCCCACAAACCCTGTCAGCACCAAAACAGTACAAAGGGAACTCCACAAGCAGGGTACTTCTGGACGAGCTGCAATTCCAAAGCCACTCATCAGTGATCAAAATCCCACTGAGAGGACAGTGCGGTGCCGAAGTCATAAAACCTGGACTACGTAGCAATGGAAGACGGTCATTTGGTCGGATGAGTCCACCTTCACACTGTTTCCGACTTCTGGCCAAGTTTACGTCTGGAGAACGCCATCCCAAGCCTACGATCCAGTTTGTTTGCTGCCAAGAGTGAAACATGGCGACCATTTTGGGCGACCAGGTCCATCCCATGGTGCAAACTTTGTTCCCTAATGGTGATACCATTTACCAAGCCAACAATGCCTGTGTTCACATACCTCACATTGTTCAGGACTGGTCTTCTGAGAACGAAGATGAAGTCTCACATCTGCCATGGCCCCCACATCGCCAGATATCATTATTATTGAGCCTTTGTGGTCTGTTTTGGAGAGCAATCTGCGTGCGCGCTATCCACCTCCATCATTGATAACAGAACTTACCATGTTTTTCAGGAAGAATGGGACAAGATTCCCTTGCAAATCATACAGGACCTCTATTTATCCATTCCAAGGAGACTGCAAGCAGTTCTGCAAGCCAGATGTTGTCCTACACCATATTAGACAAGGTAATGTGTTTTTTGTTAGGTGTTTCCATATTTTTGTCCATCTCCTGTATATACCTGTGGTTAATAAAACATACAGAAATACAATTTTACTGAAGAATAAACTTTACATACTTCCACTCGATTCACATTTTCAAATATTTTCTCCCCATTTCATACAGACTATATTCAAAATTTACCACAACGTAATGTTAAGTTATCCTTGTGCTTAATTAGTTAAGCATTATGTCATGAAAACATACAGGGGAGTGGGAGTATAACTCCACCTTTCTTGCTCTCAGCACTAGATCGGAGAGTGGTCAGCTTCATGCACCTGCCACTNCCCCCCCCCCCCCCCCCAGGGAAAGAGCCCTGGTACCCACTGGATAGGAGAAAGGGTGGGCCCCACAGGTGGTCTGGATGCTGTGGAGAAGATAAAAATTCTGCACCGCTGGGAATCAAACCCCAACTGTCCAGCCCACAATAACCCATTGCTACACCAACTCCTACAGAAGTACTTAAATCATAAATAAACTTTTAAATCAAGGACTTTCATACTTTTCTAAGTAACAATGATATTACTGTTGGGTCTCTTTAAACAATTTCTGATTGATAACTTATTATGACAGACAAAGATACAGTTGTCCCTGCACTTCATTAACTAAGCACCATGCCATGACGACATATGGGGGAGTGGAGGTATAGCTTCACCATTCTTAATCTCAGCACTAAATGGAGGTGAGTGGTGAGCGTCATGCCCCAAGTGCTTTACCGCCAGTACCCACCACAGAGGCGGCTGGGTTGGCCCCATTGCCAATCTGGGTGCTGCAGAGTAGAGTAAAATTCCCTGGCCTTGATTGGAATCAAACCCTGGCCACCGAGTCCATAGCCTGTTGCTATACCAAATGAACTTGCGTGCAGAAATCTCACAGATCAGAGCTACCTAAAATTTATCCTTTCCAGCACAGCAATTTTGCTAGGGAGAAATGAGAAAAGCATACAAAGTTTTAGTCAGAAACTGCACAGAAAAGATCACCTGGGAGACCTAGCCATCAGGGGGAAGAAAATATTAAATTGGATCTTAAAGAAGTAGAATATGAAGATGCGGACTGGATTCATCTGGCTCAGGAGAAGGCTCAGTGAACATAGCAATAAATCTTATTAAGAGTTCCATAAAAATTTTTGATCAGTTAAATAACTTCTAGGTTTTCCTGTATGTATAACAGTTAATGTACAGAGCTGGCATGCCACTAGGCTATCACTCTTTAACATAGTTTAAATTTATAACAAAACACACTTCCATTTTAAGGACCACGCACAACCAGGTGTTTTTGCTATTAACAGTCATGTCAGCGAACTATGCATATATGACACAGAAACTTGTGGCCTCCATCTTCTATACTGAAAGTTACCTTACCTCTCTACATCACCTTCACAAGGTGTACAACTCTGAAACTGTGGTCTCCACCGGTTAACTCCACCAAAACTGTCAACTGGTTGAAATTCTGGTCCTGAAGTTTGGTGAAAGGGGATGCCTTGTCCTTGACTTGGGCCTGGATTAAGCATACGGACATGAGTGCCAAGGTGACCTTGAGTTAAGGGTACTGAGTTTGTACTATGTGCACTGCCTATCCATGGATTAGGGGCATGGTCCCAATGACCAGACCTCATGTGAGGACGTCCAGCATCATTCCATTGTGAAGGTCCAGGCTGAAATCTCCCTGGCATGGAGAGCTCAGAAGACGATGACAATGAGGGTGTAAGATTTTTATGCTTATGAGGTACTGGCAATCTCTCATCGATGTCTCCAAACCTGGCATCTATAGAGGAACCACCTGCAACAAAATAATGGCATATACATTTCAGTTTGAAATCATCCGCATTAACAACTTCTGTCACATCAACCTACAATTATTCCCCCTATTCACAGGAGGAGGAATGTTTACGTACTTGGCTCGTGGCCAACCTCACTGGAATCACTACAAGGACTAAATTCCACACTCGTCACCTATAATCAAACTCATCACCAACAATCAATGTTTCTCTGGCATTCTAGGCAGACAAGCACACTGATCATTTTTTAATTCTTACCAGTGTGTGGAAATATAGTTATTTCGTTTACATTCTTCAGACTTTTACTTTATTTCATCATTACACATCTTGGAAATATGCAATGAGATAAATATGTCCTCAAACTTCAAGACAACTTCTAACACAAGCAAAAATATAAATAAGGTGACAATGTTAATCATCCCAATCATCAATATATACTGTGAAGACCGCAATAAAATAAACTGGTAACTGGTTATACGTAACGCAGTTCATGTTACAAATGACCAAACCTGATCAACAGAGAGCATATTCAGCAAGTAACCAAAGAGATTCTTGACCATGTGAAAATAATATTTCTTCATGAATCCACGTGAATATGGTAACAAATCTGTATTGAAACATAACTGTAAATATACCTTGTCTATCATCATCTGCAATGATTGGTGATAAATGACTGGTTTCCCATGCATGTCTTCTTCTGCTCGGTTCCCAGTTCTCTTTACTTTCCTGCTGATCTCGTCTTTGTGCATCTCTTAACTTCTGAACTTCATTTAACTGAATTACCTGTAAATTTTAAATACATTGTAATAGCAGATCATATAGTACACTTTCCATTATTACACATGATTTTTTGGTTCCAAATAGTTACTGTTAACAAAACTGTTTAAAAAAGCCTACTTTAAATCTCAACCAACATAAAACTACATAACCAGAACAATGAAAATGTTATCAACTACATCAATTCTGGGATGTGATGCCAGGCAATCTGTTAAGATGGTTATAAATGTAGCTCCTGCTGGTGTGCAATGGAAGACGGTCATTTGGTCGGATGAGTCCACCTTCACACTGTTTCCGACTTCTGACCGAGTTTACATCTGGAGAACACCATCCCAAGCTTACGATCCAGATTGTTTGCTACCAAGAGTGAAACATGGCGGGGATTCGATCATGGTATGGGCAGCCATATCGTGGTCTTCTGTCGGACCCACCATTACCCTGCAAGGTCACGTCAGGGCGACCAGGTCCATCCCATGGTGCAAACTTTGTTCCCTAATGGTGATATCATTTACCAAGCCAACAATGCCTGTGTTCACATACCTCACATCATCCAGGACTGGTTTCCTGAGAACTAAGATGAAGTGTAACGTCTGCCATGGTCCCCACAATCGCTAGATATCAATATTATTGAGGCTTTTAGGTCTGTTTTGGAGAGCAATCTGCATTTGCGCTATCCACCACCATCATCAATAACAGAACTTACCGTGTTTTTCAGGAAGAATGGTACAAGAATCCCTTGCAAATCATAGGGGACCTCTATTTATCCATTCCAAGGAGACTGCAAGCCAGAGGTTATTCTACACCATATTAGACATGGTAATGTTTTTTTTTTTGTTGGGTGTTTCCATATTTTTGTCCATCCCCTGCAGATAATACAGGAAGTGACATAAATTTACATTAAAACTGGTTATCATATGATGGAAGATGTACGTGTGAAATTAAATCTAGGACTGTCATGGCAAAAGCTGCATTTAGCAAGAAGAAATATCTTTTTACCAGCAAATTGGACTTAAATTTGAGAAAGAAACTAGTGAAATGCTACATTTGGAGCAATGCTTTGGATGGGGCTGAAACTTGGACACTTGAGGCAGTAGATCAGAAACACCTGGAAAACTTCGAAATGTGGTGTTGGAGAAGGATGGAGAAGATCAGTTGGACCGATTATCTGAGGAATAAGAAGTGTTATTTAGAGTCAGTGAGCAGAGGAATATCCTACACGAAATAAGAAAAAAGAAGGCTAATTGGACTGGGTCATATCTTACGCAGTAACTGCCTTCTAAAAGAAGTTATTGAAGGAAAGATAGAGGGGTGGATAGAAGTGACCAGGAGACGAGGAAGAAGACGTAAGAAGATGCTGGATGACCTTGGGGACAGAAGACGATATTTTCATTTGAAGGAGAAAGCTCTAGATTGCATCAAGTGGAGGAACTGTTTACAATATTATATTTGAGCATCCTGTTACACTCACACAATATATATGAGACAAACACCGTCTTAAGTGTAACAATTTAATTGTAGTTCTTTCTTCTTTTCCTCCTCCACACTACATGTTTCGGCCCTAAATGGCCATCATCAAGTGTGTATTCTTACGTAGCTGTTACACTGCCTGTTAAAATTTAAAATCACCAGTCTTTCTAATTGTATAAAACCTTTGTTAACCTACATGCGTTAATATATATGGAGGAACTGTTTTGGAAGAGACTGTGGACCTGTCATCTTGACAGATTACAGATGCATGAATGAATCACAAAAGGCAGACCCTATCCAAATTATACAGCTTTTGTAATAATATAACTTTCTGTATAATATACAGAATATACTGACCTGTTTCAGCACTGTATTATAATGAGAAAACGATATTGTCCCATTTTTGAGCTGCTCTTCAACTTCCTGCATGATCATATTAACACTGATATCACTAGCATCATCAAATAAATGATGGTTCATATCCTCTTCAACTGCAGTGCTGAGGGACCGACGCCTTTCTCCAGTATCATCTAATGGGAACACAAAATTCACAATCATTATTATCAACAACTTTATGCGCAGTATGTCCTTGCAGCAGACTCTTTCATTGATCATTTCACCAGTATTCTACCAGAAATAAACAACTTTTCTCAAATTATATGCAGTTCTATATAGGTTCCTGCTAAGTTACAAGGAAAATAGACCTTAGTATTTGTCTCAATACAGTAGATCCTCTGAAAATCTGGACCTAAAAACTTTATCACCCCCCCCTTCAATTAAGCTTCAGGAACTTATGGCCTGCAATAAAGCAATTATTTGCAGAATGTTCACACCCTACAATATATGGAAAGTGGAAAAACGTGGGTATGATTATACTCCAATGCTACATTAATGCACTGATACTTTCATACTTATTGGAGAATTAAACTAAAATTCAGAAAAGTAAATTATATGTCAATCTGTTCAAGCCTACCTGGCAACTTGTGATAAAGAAGTGGTTGTCCAAGTTTATCAAACTTTCCACTACTTCTGTGAAAATTTGACAATCCTCTGTCCCTGGGATTTCCATAGATCATGTCTCTTTCTCTCAGTTGCGAACTGGACCCTAGAGCCGAACTACGTGATTTTTGTAGATCAAGTTCGTCACGACCAGAACAACCCATGGGCCCCAGTGCAGATTTACATGTATCTGGTTTCTTCTCCTTATATTTTGCCCAACCTCGAGACTTTAGTTCACGTTCAATGTTTTCTTTACCATCGTCTTCACTAATGGATTTGCATTCATCCATGCAGACTTCAGACTCCTCACTTTCTCTCTCAGGTGATGGCTGCTTTAAAGATGAAGTAGGGTTCGCTGAACTATCCTGAGACGATGCTGATGTTGGAATAGGTGAAGACTGAGATATTACTGGAGGTGGGGGCTGTGATGGAGGTACATTCTCCATGACAACTGGTGCATTGGGAGGTAACTGTTGAAGATCAACATCTTCATTTCTAAACAACCTGAAATTGAACCAGATGAATGCCAAATTATTATCATGAACTTTAAATGTTCCACCAGAAAGGTACTGAGAGCATTTGGTATACTTCTAGAATACTTGCATTATGATGATTCATATATGGGAACTGATGAAATATGAATGCTTGCCTGATGTTTTTTGACCCAACAAAGCGGTAGGCAGAAAGAACTTCATGAGAGTCACATATCAATGAATCACAGGGCCCACTTCTCTAGGATATGAGACTCTCTGAGAAGTAAGATATATCTGATACTGTGGTTTGAAAAAGTGTGTACCGTAACTATATATACCATGGCATATTAACTAATCATAAAAATTTCCTGAGTATCCTAAATTCAATTAAAATGTCATACACTTCTGAAACTGAGTAAGAAACATATGTGGCAATGCAATGTACATGTACTTAATCTTAAGGCACCAGCTGAAGAAAACTGATTCGAATCACTGTGCCTAAATCCATATTATCATTAATAACTTCTCTAGTATATGATTCTCTAAAGGTCTGTGACAATTTCTGTTCATAAACACTACGCTAAATGCTGTTTCAGAAGCTGGATCTTCTTCCATCATCAGGTGTAAGTGGGGAAAAGGATCTTACTCAGCTTGGCCTGTTAGGAATTAGTCTCAGCCAGCAGGCAAAGTGACTGCTGTATAAAACCAGTAATTTCCACCTAGCTCATAATGACGTAAGTATTCAGATCTGCCCTCTATAGTGCCTCATGCCTTCTCGTGGCATGCCATTTTCACTAAAATGCCTCTGGGACAATGTTACTACTGACAGGTTTTCAACTGTTCCTTTCAGTCCTAACAGGCATATTAAGGGACAGTACTTTAAATTTGGCCATGATCACCTCCTTTCACATCCTTTCCAATTCATTAGTATTATCCAAACATCTGACACTATATCCAATATACAGAGTGGCTCAAAAGTCAGTTAACCTAGAACATTCTCTTCTATTAAAGGGAAGGTTCAGATTTAAACCTGCCAGTCAATTTGCATAACAGTATCACAATGTTGTGAGTCGTACACTAAACAAAGGAGGACCTTATTTCAAGAAAATTATGTAAATTCACTAAGTAATGTGAAGAAATTTCTAATATGCTTTAGGGCACATTTTACTAACCAGTTTGGTTTTGTCACACGGTTTATGGTGCAGTCTGAGATACTGATACCATTATTAAATAAAACTTCAAAGAAACAAACATGTTCAGATGCTAATTAACTTACTCATCAAAAACTTCTGCTTTTGTTTTCTTTGGCAGTGGCTGCTCTCCTATTTCCGTGGATGAACGTTTCCTACTAGGTGACCCAGGAAGTTGACGCAAATCCACATCCTGATTTGCAGCTTCTACAAGTGGTTCTGGAATGATAATTATACCTATTATAAAACTGATTAAATATTATTTCAGAACACAGGCAGACCAATGAGGAAAAACCTGCTCTGAACACAGTGCCACTTTACATCACTATCCTGCTACCACTGCTATTCAAGGTACATACATAGTTCCCTGCAGCTGCGTCAAAATTGTTTCTATAGATTTGTTAATTTGACATGGTAAAATAAATAAAGGCTTGAACAATTTATATATTCTTTTATGTCTTCATCAACAGAAGACATGTTTTTACCTGGTAAACAATGCAAAACTGTATACTCTGTTGATGTAGACATAAAACCTGTTTCAATCTATTTCTTCTGTCTTATTATCATACCAAGTTACAAGACTTCTTGAAACAAATGTAACACAGTGAATGCTAAACTACTAATGCACATCTGATGGCTGTATACAGCAACACAAGATATATACTTTTACCTGCTTTACCAGGTAGCATGCTCCTTGTATTCATGTAGACGGAAAACATTATATGAACTGTATTAATTAAAATACCACAAAATGATACAATTAACACTTTGCGGACTGGCGATTTAAATATTTAAATCACCCTGGGGACCGGCATTTTTATACCTACTAGCCTAACTTGTGCACTGTTCACTTTAATAATTAATATAAAATTTCCTGATTAATTTTATGAACTAATATTTTTGGAGAACATTTATCAATGCTCCTAGAAGTGCTTGAGAGTGTGATATTTCTGGAAATATTCCCCTTTGTGAAGTGGCATTACACACTTGCAAATGTAGACATAGTCCTTTTTTTGTGAACTGTGCAAACAAGGCATTGCCTAGAAGGATTCTTCCCCTTGGAAAGTTCACCTTCAATTGATATTAACAAGAAAGTGGTATGGGAAGAAAAGCCCACCCGCAAGCCAAGTCTTGGGTGTATACTAACAAAAAGTTACTACTGAAATGAAAGGTCATCGTAGAAATTCGGGAAGTAACTTCCGATGAGCCGTTAACAAAACAAGCAATGAGAAAAAAACAAAATTACTATATACAAAAAATGAATACATACTTAAGCTACTTCTAAATGTACTCGTAATCACCTCCAGAATTGAGGCATCTGTCATGTTGGGAAATAAGTTTTTGTATGCCTGTGTCAAAGAAGTCTGCCATCTGTGAATTCAGCCATATTTTGTATTGTGAAACACTACATAAACAGCATAGGGTCATTCAGAACAGAAGGAGTGGAATAATGCCAGCCCCAACCTTGCTCCAAGTGACTGCCTGTTTACCTACCCAAGCAACTGTTTGTGATTGCTGTGCTTCAACAACAGTGAGCAGTGGCTGAGCTCACGGGTGGCAGACTTCTTTGACACAGGCATACAAAAACTTATTTCCCAACATGACAGATGCCTCAATTCTGGAGGTGATTACGAGTACATTGAGAAGTAGCTTAAGTATGTATGCATTTTTTGCATATATTAATTTCTTTTTTCTCATTGCTTGTTTTAACAGCTCACCAGAGGTTACTTTCTGAATATCCTTCATATATCTATATTTGTTCCTGTTGCTCACACTTGGGGCATAGGGCATCCGGAAATGCTTCATTTCATTTCAGTTTCTTAATATTAGACAGCAGGCAGGACTCAAGGGATCAATACAAATTAACCATACTACTAGAAAATAAATGCATAACTGCAAACGTTTGTTTCAAAAACAAAGGTAAAGGTTTCTCATCCTGCATTACTTTTTTATATGCAAGGTTTACTTATGGCATCATGACCATGTGTCCATGTTGCAGAAGCCTTATGAACCAAAAGGCAGATTCTCGTGAATCTTGCTATCATCAAGTCTCCAGAGGCTATCCATATCTCATATTTTTTAACCTTCTATCAATAATACAAAAATGGTGACCACACAAACTTGTCAGATAGGAGTCACATCAGTGTAGCATCCTGATATTTTGTGTACTACAATGCAACTTTCTGCAGAATATATAAGAAAACATGTTGGCTGCATAAAACCTCTGAAGGTGTGTTTAGATTCAGGCTCGCTGGCAATAACTAATGAACAACGGAGCTAGGGATGTTAAATTTCATAGGGAAATAGATCATAAGCATAACTACAAATACTATATGAACCATTTTTCATGTGTTAACAGTTAAAAATATATTGTAACGTGTTTTGTTACAGAAGACGCCGTAGAGATGGTTAATTAGTTTATTTAACAATCTTCAAATAACGGCTACAATTAATTATCACAATATTACGGGTTTCCACACTTTACAAACCCTACAACAAAATCTCTTAACACTATCTTCAAGAGTCTTCACGTATTAATAACGCGGGAGCTATACAAGTCTCCCTGAATTACACACTCCAGATATAACTGGTTATCACTGGTTATCGCACACGTGTCTGTAGCTCGTAACTTTCGAACTGAGAACTCGTTGGTAACGCACTGACTGGCTGACTGTCACAGTACAACTCGGCGGTAGCTCCAGGACTAACTGACTGTGAATAGCCTTCGCTGCTCCTTATGTAGCCTTGATCGGACAATTGTCGTCTGGTGCCGTGTTGCTAGCCACGCTGTCCGGAGTTGTTGACTGCTGCCTAGCAACCGCGGTATCCCTCGGTGACGTCACCGCTGTTGATTCGCTTTGCATAGCTTCAAGGTCGCGGGGGACTCGGCTAACGTCGGCTCCGCTCGTGACGTCACCGCGCGTTGCATAGCTACCAGGATGCGGGGTGATTACTCGCCTATTACGCGAGCGCTGCGTTACCGCTACGTGCAGCTGGGGAGGTAGGGGTCAACATGTCACAATATTATATTTCAGCATCCTGTTGCATAGATGCTTCACCCCTTCACTCATGTCCGTCCCTATTCCAACCCAAAATCATTCACAATCTCTCCTTTATTCTAATGGCATTTTAAAATAAAGGAGACGTTCTAAACAATTTTGGGTTGCATTATAGTTGGAAATAAGTGAATGAGTTAAAAATACGCCACTTATAAGAAACTCTGAGATTGAAATCATGTTGTGAGCTCTAATCTGAAACTAACAGGATAAAGCAAGTCGACACCCGATATATCTGTGGACAAAATAAGCCAGCAACATACCAATAAAACTGCTTGAATTCATCTCCATGAATAGAGTATGACATATATGCATAAAATCTATCTGTATTTGCTTCCTGTTAGTTTCAGATATATTCAGCAACAAAAGAATGCAATCCTTTGTGAGATATACGCACGTGCGATGTCATCAGTCACCTCAATACACCCTACTAGAAAATAAGGAGGAATGCATTAGATATGACTTGGAACTCCAGTGGAAAATTCCCAGAATGCCTACATGTACAGAATGGGGTGTACACTAATTTTAATTTGTCCACCAAGACTGTTAAGAGCTTCTTCAATGTCATGGTTAACACCATTCCTTCTTCAGCATAAATCTATTGTACTAATGCAATGTGTAGAATTGATTATGGCTATACTCTTTTCTGACATTTCCGTAAATAATTACGTAATGCCCATAAGTTATTTCTGAACAGTAACAATGTTCTAGCATAAATATGCATGAATCACATCCCCCTTCAGTATAACAAACCTTTAGACTTTACTAATTCTTCTAAATAATTCTATTCTAATAAGGAATCACTTTCTCTAAGATCAGTCAATAACAAATACGATTCAAGTATCAATACTTTCGGTTTACTGCTGTATACAGCACAATTTCTGTAGCGAGTACTTGAAGTCACATGAAAGTTTATGCAGCCACAGCAGTTTGAAAAACATAGCAGAAATAAGGATTTCAAACAAAAAGTTTTACTTTATTTTAGTTTAATGTAAAACCAAAGTGAATTTTATTTAATAGCAGAAGAGGTTATGACAATTGTGCCTGTGACTTGAATATACATTTGAGCCCACATACATATACAGGGTGGGGTGCAGAATCTTCCTTTTTGTGAAGACACATTGTGAAGGGAGGGGAGGGCCCAGAAAAGTGGGGATAGACTCGGCAAACGCAGCAGTCGCGGAAGTTACTGTCTAATACCCCTCAGTAGGAAACAGGAGGTGGACGAGTGAGCAGCGTGCGTTTGCTGTTGAAGCCTATTTTTCGAACAACCATTCCTACGTGGCAGTGCAGCGTGCATTCCGTACTCACTTCGGAATTAAGCCCAGAGGTCCGGTTCCCGACCGGAAATCGATTGTTTTGTGGGTAGAGAACTTTAGGACAACCGGGAGTGTGGTGAAAAAATCATCAGGACGACAACGGACCGTTACGACACCAGAATATGTGGAGGCAGTTCGACGGTCGATTTTGAGATCTCCAAGACGCTCTGCTCGCAAACATGCAGTCACCCTAGACATATCCAATTGTTCAATGCACCGAATTCTTCATGAACATCTTCATTTCCATTCCTATAAGATGTTTGTTGTGCAAGATATCTCAAGACGTGATTTCCAGAACCGAATAATGGTGTGTGAAACGTTATTGGTAACTTTACCCCCTGATGCACTTGTTTTCCTTAGTGATGAGGCACATTTTTCAACTATCCGGATATGTCAACAAGCAGAATATGCACTACTGGAGTGGTAACAATCCCAGAGAGCTCCATGAGAGGCCACTTCACAGTGATAAGGTGACAGTATGGTGTGCGTTGTCAAGAGTTGGGAGTTATTGGCCCTTATTTTTTTTTGAAGAAGACAATTATGCAGTTACTGTCAATTCACAGCAATATCTGGACATGATTAAAAACTTTTCTGAACCAGCTCTTGAAGAAATGCATCTAGGAAATGTCTGGTTCCAACAGGATGATGCCACGGACCACACAGCCCGAGCTTCGATGACAGTTTTGAGGGCAAAGTTCCCGGACCGGCTCATCTCACTTCGACGTAACATCCCGTGGGCTGCGCACTCACCTGATCTAACGCCCTGTGATTTTTTTATGGGGATAGCTCAAGGCAGATGTTTTTAAACACTGCCCCACAAACCTGCTTCAGCTGAAGAATGTTATTCAGCATGAAGTAGCCCAAATTCCGGTGCACGTGTTGGAATGTGCAGAGGGGAACTTCAGAAAATGGTTGCATCAGTGCATAGAGAACGGAGGCCACCACCTCCAAGATAATTTGTTTAAAACTACAGGATTTAAAACTTTAAAGTATGTTCTTTCATTAGCTAAACATAAATTTTGTCTAGCAGTAATAATTTTTCTTTTATTTGCCTTCAAAAAAAGGAAGTTTCTGTGCCCCACCCTGTATATTATGTACTTAATCCTTAAGATTGTCACCTTCATTTTTAATGACAGGCAATGGATTATGTTATCATAACTATCAAAACTGTTGTGACAGCCATGGAGGATCACATGCATGGCCAGCAAGATCCTGCAATTTAAACCCTTTGTACTGTCTTCTCTGGGGCCATGAGGAGGGACTAGTCTATATACAAAGAACAAAGAGCAGCACAATGCTTCAGAGAATTTTAGGTGATTTATATATCTGAAAAAATCCCCATATTTCTAAGAATGTAAACACTTCCATAATACACTGCACTGAAATGCACATTCAAGACACATTGAACAGTTTACAATACAGCAAGCTCAGACGTGCATTCAAGTCTCAGGCTGACAATCTGAACAGTTCTGGCATCATGCTTCATTATTAATAACACCTGTTTTTGTTTTGTACTGAAGTGATATTGAATTCTTTCATCAAAAACCACTATTTCTGGTAGATTTTTATCTGACTTTGATACTGCCCTGCCTCCATAATCTTTTGCAAACTGGACCCATGTTAATGGGACTTCCTTTAGTAAAAATCAATCAGTTGGTAGACTCCACCTGAATATGTAAAACAAACTACCTTAACACAAAACTGGCTGCCGCTCTTTTAGTTTCTATCAATATAAATGAAAAATTAATAATTTATATGCCTCTGGTTCAGGACACAAGAGTTTAAATTCAGAAATTACATGAGAAAACATGGCATGTTTTGAACGGTTCATCAAATTTCAGCCTGTTCTGAAATCTGGCTGTTCAAACAATACACAGAGGAGCTATATAGTAATGGAATCACAACAAATTGTTTGGTTACATCACTTTATCTTGGTCTAAAATCAATGTGATAAACTTCAGTGTTCCACAGAATTCTACTCACGAAAAGCAAGATGGGTGTGAGAAATATAGGTATCCCTGTAAAAGACTGTGGAGGACCATAGGGTTGTGAGATGTTGAGGTTCCCATATTTTCTAGACAATCAGCTCATAGATGATGATGGCAAGGTTGTCAGCCCTATGTGCCAGCCACCCTTTACCCTCAACAATATTCCAAGAGTGTTCATGGTACTCAATTCTGCTAGAGGATGAGTTAACCCAAGGGCCACAGTGTGGTTGGAAGGGTTAAGTCAACTGAAAAAAAATCCAATGACCTCATCAAGACTTGAACCCGCGACCTTCCAGCTTGTAGCACAGTGCCTCAACTAACTATGCTACCATGAAATTAAAAATACAACAAGAAAGAAATGAAATGCTGTCACTGTACAGTGCAAATTCCCCAAGGAAACAACCCCCACTAACACACATACACTCAATAACCAGGCATGAAAACTGAAATTCTGTTAGCTTACTTTTGACATCCTCATGTGGCTGTACCATATTATTTTCTGGAACTGCATTAGATTGCAGTTGCCGAGAAGCAAGCGAAGGATACCTCGATCCTACACCAGGGGTGACGGCAGGAGCACCAGCTGCTTCAGGAACCGTTACTGTAACTGTCCAGGAATTCTGAAAATACAAAATGATTGTGTACTGTTACATCATCATAGGGGAAATTAAATTAAATCCCACTGTGCCCTACAGAAACCTTAAATAGAGACTTCCCTGTATATAGTGTCTAAGGACAGGATTATTAGTAAATAATGAAACAGGAAGGATTTGTACATTTACGGTCAGCTGCAGAGGTACAAACAGCATTTTTCTTAGACATCCCTAATGTACAGTAATCTACCCCACAATGTTTGTGAGATGAATCATACAGCTTCAAGAGTGAAGACAAATCAGATATACCTCTTAAAAATAAAAACTGCACAATTCATTTCAGCCTAATATTAACAGGTAGCAACTAACATCAAGTTGAAGGCTACACACCCATTAGTGTCCAGTTTATATATTACTGGTGAATTGTGCTCATACCAAGAAAACCCTAAGATTTAAAAGGGGTAGCCTGCTATTGGACACCATACTGAAATATTTCCATCTACCTCCCATCCTCTCAACGTTCCATCTTAATGTTACCCTCCCTTAATAGCATGAAATATCAAGCAATCACTTCTCATCTAGTGTCTGTGAGCCCTTAAAATTTGTTCCCTAAGTCTGATCTGCAAAAGAACACAAATCTGTGCTGGTCTACCTCCAATTGGTTTTAATTTCAAACACTGAAACAAATGCCCGGCTAATTTCTGGTAATAAATCCACAAAGGTTAGGGTGAGACCATGCCAAATCAACACAGGCCCATTTATGTGATCAATTAAATCACCTCACAATGTATAGAAATATAACTGTTCTTTTGTTCCATATAGGAGTTAAACTTGGTCTCTCACCCCACGAGAAGAAAAAATATTTAACATGTTTGAGAATAGGATGCTGAGGAGAATATTTGGATAAAATGCTTTTAACTGAATACAGAGACACAGTCCAGCTACCAAAACATCATTCTTAAACACAAAACAGGATGACTGAGTATTTGGATTGAACAGGAAGGAAGTAACAGAAAACTGCATAATAGGAATCATTAATATTTGTGCTATTGGGTTTTCGGACTTTATCCATCGTCCTGGTTTTAAGATAACTAAGAAAAACACGACGTTTTGGAAACTGGATCTGTTGGGTGTTTTCCCTCACCTGAGGACGGAAACAGATCGTTTCCAAAACGTTGTGTTTTTCTTAGTTATCTTAAAACCAGGACGAGGGATAAAGTCCGAAAAACCAATATCTCTGTGTGTTATACACCATCGTCAGAATCCTATAGTAACTATTAATATTTGTATCCTTAACATTGTATTATTAGGGTGATCAAAAATGAGTTCAGCACAGCACATCTGAAAAAAAAAAACTCCATGGCCTGTTGTTCGCAAGTGCACTATGCCGACCGAGCAACTGCTGTTTGTTGGCGAAGTTAGTGCCAACTTTTGCGGACAGAGGGTGTCATATGGTCAGCACAACAGATCCCATGGACGTTAATTTCGGTTTTCTAGATTGGAACCGCTATTTCTTTGGAATAGCTCCTTAATTATCCTCACAAGGCTGAGTGGACCCTGTTCCAGACCCACTGCTTCTCCAAAAATCTGGTAGCACAGGGAATCGAACCCGGGACCTCTGGATCTGTAGCCAGGAACTCTTGACTACTAGACCAGAGAGATATGAACTTATATGGAGAAACCTGAAAGGAAGAGACCTCTTCAGAGATTTAAGTGTAAATTGTAAGGTAATGTTAAAATGCATATGTGAGATGCTGCTATGGGATTCATCATTATAGGGGCATTGCCATCAACCCCAGGTTCTACAAAACGTGGACAATTTCTTGAATAGCTCAGAGAATAATTGCTCCTGAGGAATCTGCCCTATACACTTGTCACACATGATCATGACAAAAAAAATAAGAATCAACAAAATTACGTAACGGGATATTTCATGAGTTTCATTTAAGCATAGGGACAATCTTCCTTGATCTCTTTCAAGCTGCAACTGATACCATGCAGAGTGAAATATTTGCAGACTCAGACACTTGAGAAATAAATTCCAAACACTTTCCAGGCTACAAGAACAACACAATACCTTGAAACAGGGCTTGCCTATATATATATAGGAGTTAAAATGGCTGGTTCTACCATCTCATGACGCACCAGGGAACAAATTTTTAAGTTTCTGCACATTAAATGTACAGTTCTCACATGAATAAATAAACAGCAAATTTTTTACAATAGAATTCAATGCAGAATGATTAGAGATGTGACCTGCATTCATTTGGCTTAGGACAAAGGAAATGAAAGGTTTTCTTAAGGAAGTCACTGAACTGTGCTGTTTTAACAGGGAACTTCTTCAAAAGTTGAACAATAACTGCCTGCTGCAGAACGACTGTGTGTATTTTGTGTAATCTTAATGGCATTAATCTATTTCTTTCCTCACTTATAACACTACTGATATTCAGATAGCTTAATGGACGAACAATAACATGTGAGAGTTCCACATGATTGTGACACCAGGTATTGGATGAGATTAACAGATTCAAGTTTGTGTTAATCCAACAATTGCAAGGAATAGTTAACCATTCATGGTTTGATGATCCTCCAATATTAATAATTTTAGATTTATTCAGAGAGCAATTAAGTTCAACATTTACTTGATGACCAATATATCCCCATGTTGTTTCATTGATTCTCATCCAAGTTTACTTGAATGTAATTCTATCGCATTTCAAAGGGCATACTTGTTGAATTAACTGTAAACTGGATTTTGTTACAACAGTTCTTAAGCAACTTTTTGAATTAAGGTAATCTAGTGAGACTATCTGAATTAAACATAAAGATGAGTAATCTAATGAACACATTTTTGTTGAATTATAAGTCACAATATTATTACTTCCATTTTATATCAATAGTTTGATGATTTGACAGAGGAAGATAACATATCTTTGAATCTTCAATTTGTGGAATTAGGGAGATTTCAAGATGTTGTTTGATCAAGTTCCTCTTCCTTATTGGAGCTGCTATGCTCATGATAATATGACCCTCTCTGTATAAACACTGCAAATCTGGTAATGATGTAACTAAATTATTCTTGAGATAGAAATGTGAGATTTCCATTCCAATCTTTGTCAGGTTCATGTTGAGAGTATCAAGAATTAATTTAAATTCCTCGAGTTTACTGAAGTCCATTGGTATGACATGAAGTTTGCATGCAGTAGCAACATTTCCAATTAATAATCAAGTTGGCAATTAGATTTATTACTTTTGCCAGTTTATATCCCTCAATTTTCTCATGGTGTTGCAGATATTGATCAATTTGATGTATTTGATTTATATGATTTTGAATTGTTATTATTTGATTATTAATCTCCTCTTGAAATGTGACTAACTTCTGACTCATTGTGTATAATTGATTATGCAGGATTCCAGTTACTGAAAGGAGTTTTTGAATTGTAATGTCTTCATTCTTCATATGATCCTGTAATTCATGAAGATCAAAAATGTGAGCATATCCGAAGATCTTTGAAGTAACCCAACCAATATAGGTGAGAGGATTATAGTTCTGCCATGTTGTGTCTCTTTTGCTCCTATTAATGGTAGAGGAACGACTGATTAATCCATTAAGATGATGGGTGTCACAATNACGAGGGGGGGGGGGGGAAAGCTGCTTGGATTTGGAAAAAATTTGTAAAATACTAAATACATATATATAAAATTGTTTGCCACGTAATACAGTACTCAGGGTTTTAAAAGTAACTGATTTAATATGACAAAGTTATCTAAGCCAAATGGGCAGCTTTTGCAGTCAAGGTGAAAGGATAAATGAGTGCAACGAAATAAGATGGCGGACTCTTTCACTACCTTGGACATATTTACCCTCGACGTATTCATTCACACCACACTTAACTGCAACATAATAAAATCGCCTTACTTTAGTAATTGTTCACAATTTCATTGGGAAACCATTCGCAGACATAACGGAACTAGAAAACAGTTTAACATCTGCAACTCATGATTCGATACTAAACAAGACTTCGGAACACCTTGAAAATTACCTATTAAAACTCCAGCATTAACATACCGATATGTTTCCTACAAAAAAATGTTTTAGCATCGGCAGAAAATAACTTACCATTTTGTAAATCACTCTCCTTCCTTAACGCACGCAATTCTTCTATTACTTCAAAATGGCTACCTACGTAACCATATCAATGATGAAACACGGTCCCTAATTGGTCTCCAGCGAACATAATGTAATATATAACTTTTCAATCTCCAATCACATCGTTTGTCGCTTTATGCGTGAAGTTGTAACTTCTACATCATCCGATAGGTGTCACAAGGGAAAAAACAGATGCTTGGATTTGCAAACAAATTGTAAAAATAATAAATAGGCACCACTAATACTAAACACATATATATAAAATTGTTTGCCATGTAATACGGTACTTAAAGTTTTAAAAGTAACTGATTTAATATGACAAGGTTATCTAGGCCAAATAGGCAGCTTTTGCATTCAAGGTGAAAGGCTAAATGAGTGCAAGGGAATAAAATGGCGGACTCCGATTAAGTGGTGTACACTATTATTATTGTTATTAAGATATGTTTTCTCAACTAATGAGAGGAAATATTCATTGCATGCACTCGCAATAGCTTGTGGATATTTAGTAGACTTTCCTTCAATATTCAAACTTTGTACATCTTCATTAACAGTTTTCTTTCCCGATTCAACTTTCACAGTATCCCAGGTGGTTTTAATTTTGTTGTTTGATTTTAGAATTTGGTTGTTATAATTATTCTGTTTGGCTTCGTTAATGACTTTTGACAAGATTTTACAGTACATTTTGTAGTGACTTATTAGTCTTGGATCGTTACTGTCCCTACTGGCCAAATATAGATGTCTTTTATGATTACATGAAGTTTTGTTCTTAATGTCATTTTTTGCTATTTTTAAGGGAAAGCCTGAATAAAAGATCCTCAAGTATGTGTTCAGAAAGCAATTAAATTTAGAATCATTATCACTGCTGTCAAATACAGTGTCCCAAGATTCATTACTTAATTTTGTGACAAACCTGCCATCATATGCTTGTTGATTTTCCTTACTGTTTTATATTGTTGATTACTGGGCTGAAGGTTAATATTATTTATTTCTATGAGTTGGGCCTCATGATCGGACAAGCCATTTGTAAAGGGTCCTAAAGTATAGTCTCTTATTTTTGAGTTATCAATGAATATATTATCTATCGCTGACCTAGAGTTATTTTGAACTCTTGTGGGAAAGTTAACAGTACTGGAGAGATTGTAAGATAATAACAAAGAATCTAAATTTAGTCTCCTATTACTATCGGTGAGATAGTTTACATTTATATCACTACAAATTAGAAATTTGACTTTTGGACTATGCAGTACATTGAGGATGCTTTCTAATCTATCTAAGAATAGATAGATCAAAAATCCCAGATGGAGCTCTGTATAAAGTCAGTATACAAATATCAGAAAAAGTAGAGTCTAACTTTAAAGCACAGGCTTCTAGATCTTGATCTTTGCAATAATCTTCTAAATTTATTTTAGTAAATTTCACGTTTTTATGTACAAAAATACTCACTCCTCCTTTCTCTAGCGTTTTTCTATAATATCTAGCTCCTAAATTATAATTTTCTATGTGAAAATGTTCTAATTCCAGCTGCTTGATGTGATGTTCAGTAAGGCACAGTATGTGCGGGAGACTTGAATGCATGAAACTTATTAATTCATTTGATTTATTTCTCAGTCCTCTTATATTCTGATGGAATACTCTTAGTACTTTGTTTTGTATTGATTTTATCGAGCTGTTATTTCCTCTTTTTGATTTCTTTTCTTGGCATTTATTACTAGCTGAAGGATTATTTTCTTTTGCAATTTCTTTTACCTGGTAAACCTTCCTTGCACTGTTTAACCTAAAAAAGGATTCTGAACACCCATGACAACTGGAATGTGTCTGCCCTTAAAGCTCTCTACAATGAGCCGTGTGAGCTTGTCCTTGCCTCGAGGATTAAGATGCAGACCATGGACAGTATGCTCATTCCTCATTATTGAAGAGACATCAATCCCATCAATGTGAGTTCTGCCGATCCCCACAAGCGAACGCTCAAGTCGAAGATTAACGTCCCTTACCCACCTGTTAATCCATGGCTTGTCATGTCGCCAGAGAAGAACGAACTTCCAGTGAACTGGATATTTGTATTGCATCAGCTGTTTAGAGTTGGAAGACTTAAATTAATCAGACGTGTTTTATAAATAAATTGTAGGCACAAAATATGAAATATCTACTTATATCTCACTTGATGATTCACTAGCCTTACATGTTTCGATCCATTTGGATCATCTTCAGAGGCACCAAACACTTTTTTGAAACCACTGTCACAACAGTTGTCAATCAAATACACATGTAATGTCCAAGTACACATTGTTCCATCTATCAGTCACAGCAGCCTTTCTGGTTATAGAAATATTTAAAAGTTTTAAAAATTTGTTAAAAATTAAAATTCATAAACCATACGGTTTGTGTCAATAACCTCTGTCATCTCTCTTCAAGGTGGCTGATGTTGTGCCGCCTATGTGACGGACCAAAATGAAACAAATCAAATTCATCTACTTATATATTTAATGTATAGTTTATTTCATTATTCTACAGATATAAATGTACATTTAAAAGACAGTATGAAGGGATGATTCTACAGCAAAGTAATAAATATCAAAGTATCCACTGAAAACTAGTGCAGAAACAATAATCTTTTCTCTTAACTAGGAACTAACACAGTTCATTTCTTTAATTGTAATAATTCCTGGTTCAAAAGTAAAAATGGGAATACCAAATCATATTTGAAGAGCACTTCTGGGATGTGACACCGTCTATCCTGGTAGAAATTTACCAGCATTCAAGAGGAACATTTTGTCTCCATCTTCAGGGTTTGCTTGCTGTGTGCTTTGCTGACTCTTTTACTCTGATGATGAAGGCTTGGCTTATGTTCCTCTGAAACACTGGGAAATTTCTACCAAACTACATGGCATCATATCCCAGAAAATAGTACTCACCACAGCAACTGCCACAAGAACCTCAAATCACACAGACTGCAAGAGTGGCTGTTTGACAATTGACAGTCATAGTCTTATAAACATGTAATGGAATGATGACTCTTAATTATGGAGATGATATTTAAAATTAATTTATTATTCTAATAAAAATAAAACAAGAATGCATTACTTCCAAAGTACAAAGAATTGAGAGCAGTTGGTAGAAAGAACAAACACATTTACAGAAATTCAGTGAGTAAACAAAAAATTATACATATACATATGTGTACTATTTACATAGAAAATGCTTTTAAGTGACTCTTTATGTAGTACAGTCATTTTGCAAACATATTCACAGCTATATGAACTTGCCTCCTTTACATAACATACAAGTGTGTATAGATAACTAGATCACTACAGAAAACATATGGCAACTCAGGACTCTTTTAACATATTACAAGAATTGAGAAAAAGAATAAGGCTAATATCAAAATAATTCTTAAACACCAAATATATAAGCTGGTTTTAAAATCAGCATAAATTTGGGATTTGTAAAATCTGCTGTGATATATATAAAAAAGATACTCTTTTGACTAGATTGTTGGTATGTGTTTCTTTTTTCCCAAAATAATTGTACCCCTCCCACCTACCCCCACCTCCAGTCATACCAACATTGTACACTGTTTCTTGTGCAATGGCACTTAAGTACCTTAGATATTTGTACAGTCATGAACTGCATCTGAAATTAAATGCATATAATAAATACACAATTTTTATGAAAGCTTTCCCCAGGCATTTCTTGCATGTTCAAGGTCTGTTTAAAAAAATTCTTAAAAAGGTTGTAATTTGTACTGAATTTCAATTAACTGCACAGTTCACTGCACAGGTTAGGGATATGTCTGATTACTATAAAGAATATGCTGTGGCGATCATCAGTGACACTTTTGTAACACATCATCTGGAATAATTATACTTTTACAGCCCTCTCATATTAAAACTGTTAATTGTATACATTCCTGACTTCAGACTTTTATTATAAACTATGAAGGAGTCATATATATACATATCTTATATATCTGATGACTTACAAGGTTAACTTGAGTCCATGTAAATGATAAAGCAAAATTATACCAAAAATTAAAAGGGCCTGATAGTTATCCAACAGATTATCCCATAATCAAAATGACAAATCTTAATGAACAGGGAATAAAAATATTTTTAATAATTACTTCTCTCTTTGAAGTCTTGTAATTTCCTTTTCATATCTACTATCTCACTGTCTTGGATTATATATCAGTTCCTCATGTACATCATTTCCCAAATAGAAGAGCTTTAAAGATGTGAAGTCTATAGAAACCCTACAATAACCACTAGATTGAAAATTATATGTAAACGATGCAACAGTTTTAAATTTTATTAAATAAAGTCTCCTGTGTTCAAGAACCGCCTCTGTGGTCTAGTGGTCATAGTTCCTGATTACACACCCAGAGGTCTGGGTTCGATTCCCGGCATTACCAAATTTTCTCAGAAGTAGTGGGTCTGGATCAGAGTCCACTCAGTCTTGCGAGGATAACTGAGGAACTATTTCAAGGAAATAGTGGCTCTGGTCTTGAAAACCGAAATTAACGGCCGTGGGGATGCACTGCACTGACCACATGACACCCTCATTCCACTAAAGTTGGCACTAACTTCGCCGACAAGCAGGGATCACTCAGTCGGTATAGTTCCCTTGCAGACTAAAACCCAATATGATTATGCCATTGACTTTGATCAGTGAAAATGATCGAACAATTCAAAATATTTCAAATAGTTTCAGATACAGCCTTCAGTTTTACAGTTAATTCTTTACAAAGAAAGAAATAAAGCAGAACACAATGCAGAAACATCTGCTACACAGTCAGGCACATGGCTTGGCAAGTGCATATCAATATACTTGAGTGCTTGCAATACAATCAATAAACATTAAATGAAGTTTAAAAGTTTAGCTGCTAATGCAATGTAAGAAGATTTGTTAATATCCAACTTAAAGTTGGTATTCATCTTCTGAATTAAACAGCAAGCATGTTTGGGAAGATTTCTTGTTTTGTTTGGACACTTTGTAGAATGACCATTACAGTACATGATTTTTGGCATTTATATATAAAAATCCTTCCCCCCCCCCTCTTTCTTTAGATCTTCCACCTTAGACAGTTCTTTTCTAGTAACACTTGGCACTGCACACTGTGAAACTGAACCCATAACTCTAAACTACAGTCCCATTCCACAATGTTCACAAATCAATAAGACATCTGCTCCCAGGCTGTTTCTATTATGGAAAACAGAATTCATAAACAAACAAGAAGATTAACCTAATATTCCATGTATATGGCACTCACCAAAACTGAGATATTTTACCACAGCTAGCAAATCACATATCAAATAAAGAGAGAAGAAATTGCATATTATATTGAAGAATTTTACAAGTTTGAATAATGTATTTCCTTCTTGGGTAAGAGAATATATATATATATATATTGTGGCATATTTGCTCAAAGTAAGAACTGTGAAACCAGCAGAGACAGCCATTGCTATGGAGCAGCTCTGCAAACATCCCCATTACTAGGCAACAGTTTCAAAACCAGCCAGAGCCATCACCAAGTAACGTGCCCGTGCAACAAGGGAGGAACGGCTGGAAGGGGTGTTTTCTATGCAGTTCATGTTGAGACTATGTATAATGAGGGCCAGCTGCCATTAGTCAGTAACCCATGTGGAGGTGGGGTTGAATACCTCCACCATGATCGTGCGAGTTGTAGGAGGCAACGAAAAGGGAAGTCTCAAATCTGAGACAGTAAAATATGTTCGTGAGTCCCGAGGAACTCGGGCCGAAGAGAGACTGCACTGGCAATGGCCAGCAGCATATGCAAAAGACAGACCCATCCTCTCATCAGAGAGGGCACCCCACAAAAACAAGACCGTAACTGCCAAACAGTAATAAATATTTGGCACCCAGCTCCAGTACTGACTGACTGACTGACTGACTGACTGTCAGTTGCAATGTGATTTTCACTTTGAGTTTGACTTTGACATTAGTCAGTCAGTCCAAGTAGAGTCCGGGTGTAGAGAGAAGTTCAGACAGAGTCAGCAAGCAAGCAGGCAGTCAGTCAGTCAGTCAGTTAGTTGAGAATTGCAGAAGCTGGTAGCTGAGGCTGGGAACAGTTCGGGAACCCAGAGGAAGGGGAACATCTGCCACTGGAAGTCATTACCAAGCAGCGCAGTGAAGACCATAACTGAAAACACCATAGTCTGTGTGTGATAGTCATTTGTAAAGTGTAGTCACATGTTGTGTGCTGAAGTCACTATCATCTGACAATATATGTCTGTTAAATAAATGAATATATATATATATTATATGTTTTTCCCACAGTCACATTTTCTTATGGGCTCTATGTGGAAGTTCTATTAGAGGAATCTAAATTGACACAATACAGGGAATGAAATTATAAAAGACAAAAATGTAATTTCATTACAGATCTTTAAAATACAGTATGTGCCAAATATACAGTACTGAAATGAAAAGACATCCTGTTGATACCACTGTCTATTCATGTGAAGGCCCCTTCCATGACAGAACCTTCTCAAATCCTGAAGAAATGGTCCAATCACCATGTCCCTGTAGCGTTCTTGGGTGACAGTAAGAGCACTGCCTTCCTCATCCTCAATGAAATAGGGACCTAATAATCCATGTGCTGAGATGGCACACCATATCGTCACATGGGTACTCTGTAGCGGTTTCTAGATGATAACATCTGGCCACTCAAAACCAAGGAAGCGAGTTGTGTGGCGACCACTTCCGTACGAACGGAAATAATACTCAACTATGAATAATATTTCCTCTGTTGAGAGACCCATTTCCAACAACAACTGGACAACACAACTTCCTTTTCACTACTGGGAACACTTTGACCTGTCGACAAACGTACATGCGCGTTCAAGACACACGAGTTTCAGTACTGCATATTTTGGCACATACTGTACTATTTTCTTTCTTCTTCTTACCCTTCTAAATCATCATTACAAAAAAAAAATATATGACAGGCTTAATACCACCTTTTTAAATCCCTAACTTGCCCACACAGAAAATATTCATGCTCTTCACAGAATGCTTAGAAATTTCCATCCTTTCATTAGCTCCCATACATACTTATTTAAACATATATTGAGACATGAAGTCAGTCCTGCCGTTTCCAAAAAACGACTGAAATGCAAGTACAAAACATTTTATACTTGCAAGATTCTGAAACTAAGCAAGACAAAATTATTTGTAAGATATTTACAAGAAAATGTAATCATTGATTTGGAATAACTAGCAATCAAGGAATTAAAATCTGATAACAATTCCCAGCTTTCGATCTGGCAGCAATAATCACTATGATTAAATTTGTATGAACTACAATTTTTAACCTGTAACGTTTCCTTGTGATCAAAACTTCTTTCATGAAGTGTCATGTTGGTTTCTTCATATATTGCTATGAAGCATGAGATACAAAAATAGAAACTGGAAAACATTTCTTGTTGTAGAATATCTCAGAATTAGTTCATAAGATTATGTGTACATGGTGTCATAAACTACAGACCATGAAGGAATACACTTCACCTAAAACTCTTCACTTTCAATACTGAAATTTGTACTTCTTTCAATATTTCAGAAAGTCCCTCTTACAGTCAGCAGTCTCTGTGTAGTAAATGATAAGAGAGTACGAAACATTCAAAACTGAAAAATGTGCTGCACACAGCAAAATTTTACTATAGAGTGAACATTTTTTTATACTATGATATGACAGTGCTACTCTTTATCTTCCACAGGGTACAGTTCATCAACTAAAGAAACATTTTAAAATTATCCACACTGTTTTGAAGTTTTTCTCCAAATTTTTTAAATTTTGCACAATATGATACCTGATACCTGATTGACAGGTCATTATAAGGCTTATGCAAAACAAAACTTCTACAGTTTTATGCTCGATCCAATGCATCCTAGGAAGAATTCCTCTGATCTCTTACACAAATCCTAGACTGAAAATAACTATACAGTACATGCCAGTACACTTCAAATGACAGATATTATCATGATATTTAATTAATTAGTCCAACAGTGAATAATGCTAAATTATTTTTCACACAATCTGTTCATTCTATTTTTATATCTGTGTCATTTAAATACAACTGTACACCAAATGGTGATTTAATGGCATAGGAAAAGCCTGGTAGCAGATCTGAAATATGTAACTCAATGCTGCTTTAGCAATACATTACCTCTACATTACTAGGCTAATAAAACACTATGCTTATGCACCAATAATGTTTAGAATGAGGCATTGGGGACATTCTGGTCTCCCAGCCAATCTACAGACAGCACAAAACCTTGGGGTGAGCCATGCAGGATTGTGTGAATGTAATAAATATTAAGTACAATGATGCTTCACATGTGAAACACACATAACCTCAACTGTCTAGCAGGCTGTCTCTTTAAGAAAGACGGTGATGATAACATTGTAATTTAAAATTAAAAATATCATGTAGTCTTGCATGATCATTGATGAATCATCAGTAAAAATGTACCACTGTATTTGTGTCAACAGAATGGTTATTGCAACACGTCTCTACAGTAAAGGGCAATCACCAATATAACACCAAGGAACACCTGTCATGGATTATAAAAACTATTTTATGTTCCATTAAACTGTCATGATTACATAACACCTTTTTCACAACTTCATCATAAGTTGTTAAGCTTGTAAAATACTTTCCTCACACTCTGAAGAAGGTACTGGTGTTAGCTGTCTTTCTGAAATCTTGGAAGATAGCCTTTATTATCTATGTCAATATTTTAGTGCCATATTTTCAGACCAGCATTCAGTTCTCTTGGTCAACAACCTTCACAGTATACGAATACATTACATGCATACACACGCACGCTAAAATACATCAAAACTTCACAAAGACGAAGGCACCGAACATTTACAATAATACTTAGAAAAAAGAAAAGATTTCCGCCTAAATAAATGCAGTTATAATAAAGAGTTTAAAAAACTCAAATTTATAAAGACAAAGCTAGAAATTTATTCATGCTGTCAGTTCTTTGAATTCAGGTCCAGGCTACCACTGATCATAGTGGAAACATATTTTATATTAAGAATGCCATCTTCTGGGATGTGGCCAAGATCTACATGGCGCCATATCCCAGAAGACAGCATTCTTCATAGTCACCACCATGAAAACCTCAAATCTTACATACCTAATAATAAAATGCGAGCAGCTATATATCAGTCAGAGTACCATAGTGACACTCAGAGTTGGTATGTCTTTTCTTTGTTGAAATGGCAAGTAGACAATGCTGGTGATAATGCTGCTCCTGTGAAGATGGTGCGATGAGAGCAATAAACCAGAAGAAGAGACCACATAATACTTATCCTGACTATTATAAACTTCTCAGGTCTCTCAAATGTAAATGACTTTTGGGCCATTTTAACCATATAACCATTTTGTGTGCTTTGCTCTGGATCATCGCCATACTTATACATGCTTCCAGTTTTGCTGCCACCTCTCTCATTTCCTTCACTCATAAGATTTCTGTCCAAGGAAACCTAACTCATTCATGAGTTCAACTCAGACCTAAGACAAAGAAGAAAAGGTGTATTAATTGCTGCTGGAAATAATGTAGTTTAGCTTGGTGCAATTCATAGTATGGAGAACACCTGGACTTATGAAAGAGAAAAGAATATGATATAGGAAATCTTCATAATTTATAATCTTAAAATTTAAGTAAATTAAGGCAGAAAACATATGTCCCAATAATTGAGAGGAGGGCATATTGGTACCAACAACAGCCATTGTTGTTACTGGGTACCGTGTACACTTGTGAACATATAACAGCCAAACATAACATTTGAAGTAGCTCAGACAGTGCAGTCAACTGAAGGGTCAGGTTTTGAGTCCAGGTAGGGGCAAGATTCTTCTCCTCTCCACGTCGTCCAGACCAGTTCTGGGGCCGACACATCCCCCTATCCAATGGGCATTCGTGGGGGTAAAGCAGCCAGGGCGTGAAGCTGACCACTCACCTCCAACTAGTGCCGAGGTCAAGAATGCATGGATCTATACATCCACTCCCACATGTCTTTATGGCTTAGTGCATAATTAGTTAAGCACAGGGACAACTTTAGCTTACCTTAAAGAATGTAGTAGGACAGTGTGCACTGAATTCATCATATGGACCAGTGGTGGGCTTTTGTAAGCACTCAATTCCAGGGAGTTGGAATTAACACTTCAACAAGTTTTACACTACATTTCAGTTTTAAGCATAACTGAAGGCATCTTTATTATAAAGTATTGTTATTAATTTATGGAAAATATGGCTTTTAATAATATATCAATACTTTGCATGGTATGGAAAGAGCAGCTCTTGTTGTGAGGTTGTCAGGTTCGAGAATTCCTTACTGCCACCCTCAGCTTCACATGGTTCAGACTGTGGCCACAAATCATGTACAGCAATATGAGGATAGCATGTGCTGCGGAGGAAATGTCACTTCCTACTGCATTTTCACTTGACCAAGTCACAAAGACATAATTACTATAACCAGTGTGGAGGAAATATCACTATATCACTTCTACTGTCCATCACACCTCCATCAAAAGAAAGGCATCAGGAATTCTCTCTCTATGGAATGAAACTGTAGTCATACTGGATGAAAATACGGTAACACAGTGTGCGAATAGTGTGCTGCACATACTGGTTGTTGGTAGTACTAATTCTGCCAGCAACATTCTCTCTGTTGCTCATGGTCACCATTATAATGAAAAATGCTTATTCCGATGAACTTCTTGAAACCTGTATTTTGTTCAGTTTCAGATGTTATAAAATTATGAAATGGCTGTAAATATGCAGAACACCTAGTAAATAAATAAATGTAATCACCTATCTCTTTGGTTAAATGTCAGTAGATTTCCACTGTTCCCATTCTGTTTTGCCTCAGAGAGTAAGAAATGAAGGCTGGTAAGAAGAGCAGTATAATTTAAAACTGCAGGAGACTTACCTGAGGGCTTTGTAACGTTCCTTTTCATGATTGTTTTCAGGAGGTTCACATTCAAAAGATGCAAGTGCCAGAGCTGAAAGAGAATACATGAAAATCAGAGAAACCCTACAAACATTAAACTAATACTCATATATACTTGTCTACATTGGAGCACTATCATGACAGATTAATTCAACGACAAAAGTAGTATAAAACAGAATACTTAGTCTGGGGTCAAAGTGGATATGTCATACTACCACAGCATCAAACACCCCAAATTACTGGAGTTCTCTTTTTGATTTCTCCCTCTCTGCCGCACGCGCCCGTGCTCGCGCGCGCACACACACACAAAGAATTTCGTGATCATGAAAAAGTTTGATCCAGAGATTTTGATGGATTTACATATCCTGAGCCTCCCTGAATGTCATCTGTCTGCATGCACACCTTACTAGCACCTGATTCACTCACTCATGGAGCCCAGCTCTTCACTGGTCCCTATCCTGAGCCAGATCAATCCAATCCATACCATCCCATCCTATGTCTAAAAAACCTCTGTGGACTGTAGTCCACAAGCGAACTATATCTATCTCTCTAAGATCCATTTTAATACTGTCCATATACCTACATCTTGGTCTCCCCAATGGTCTCTTTCCTTCTGGCTTTCCCACTAATATCCTATATGCATTCCTCTTCTCCCCCATTCATGCTACATGCCCCGCCCATTTCATTCTCCTTGACTTGATTATTCTAGTTATACTTGCTACTAGTGCTTGAATAAAACAAAAAACAAACAAAACAAACTCTGTGGCCTGTAGTCTGCAAGTGAACTATACCGACCCAGCGACCGCCGCTTGTCGGCGAAGTTAATGCCAACTTTGAACCGCTGTGCTGACCACGTGACACCCTCTAGCCACAAAGGCTGACTAGTGCCTGAATAGTTACATAAATTTGATCCATATTCAGAAGTTAGGACCACAGGCAGGTGCCCAGCGAATATTAACATTCTAGCAACAAAAACAGGGGGCCTTCAGATGCACACTAGAGGCGGGAGGCCATTTTCTTGAAAACAGTTCTCACAATATAAATTAAATTTCAATAATCTGTGGAGACCATCTCTCTAAATAATACTGCAGAAGTTGCAATACATTTTAAGCTTCTATGTACAATGTGGGATAAAGAAAGTCAAATGGAAGGTCACACATACTTTAATGCTGTGAACGACAGTTATAAGCATTATTTATTCTAATTCTGAATTAAAATGCAATTAAGAAATCTCAAACTTCACAATAAAAACGGAGGACAAAACTTACCATTCTCAGTAAGCACAGGACTGGCTTGCAGGAAAGTGATGACTTTTGTATTTTTCTCAAATGGGCATGTCACCTGCTTCCATGTAATGAACTCTGTCACCTGTTTTGCAAGCTGCCAGAATTTCTCGAAGTTTATGTGGCCATTGGGCAGTCTAAATGAAAAGAAACAAAAACACATGATCTTAGTTCCCATGTTATAATACAACTGAAGTGTACGTAGACCCATTTATGTTACAGATCATGGCTGCTGCTGATACTGTTGTTGTTGTTGTTGTTGTGAAGATCTTGACATATCTGCAATTGGAGCGGTTTCTCTCAATCATATTTTACAATATTTTACCAAAAGTTGTTAATAATATTTGTTCATAATTCTTGTGTTATGTAGTTCTTAGTTCTGCAGCTACTCAAGAATTTCCCAGCATTTTATGGAACCTGAAGGTTCATTACTGTGTTCACAAGAGCCAACCCCTGGTCCCTATCCTGAGCCAGATCAATTCAATCAATATCATCCCATTCTATTTCTTTAAGATCCATTTTAATATTGTCCACCCACCTATGCCTTGGTCTTCGCAGTGGTTTCTTTCCTTCTATCTTTCCCACCAATATCCTATACGCATTCCTCATCTCCTCCATTCGTGCTACATGCCCTGCCCACCTCATCCTCCTTGACTTGATCATTCTAATTATACTTGGAGAAGAGTACAAGTTATGAAGCTCCTTCATTATGCAGTTTTCTCCAACCTCCTGTCACTTCATCTCTCTTCAGTCCAATATATTCATCTACAGAATAAACTGTATGTTGTATTAGGTAGGATCTCAGGTCTCTTTTAAACTGCCTCACTGTTTCCATTTCCCTAATATTATTTGGTAATTTATTCTATAATTTTATACCCATATTCATTACACCTTTCTTGAGGGCATTTGTCCTACAGAACTGAACATGGAAATTCAACTTTGGATGAAGAGATGGAAATCAGGTACAAGTACTTGTGTAACATCTGCCTTAAGGGAACAAAGAAAACAACACAGAAACTCATTCAGTTTTGTTGGTCTCCATCTTGAGATTCAAGCCCAGAATGCCCCACATATATAATAGGAGCACTAAACAACATACAAGTGTGTTCACTCAGACCACTCATAAGATCATGAGATGTTCCAAGTTAATAAAGACAGAGACAACTATAACAACAACAAAAAACTCATGTTGCACACAGCTCTGACTCCTTTCTATCTTGTACAAATTCTTTCAAACATGAATACACCATGACGAAATACAGCACATGTGACACCATGTTTATCGCTTTCTCCTCTAATCCTTACTTCAGAACGATTCAGCCTTCTAAAAAGGATGGGTATGAATGAATGTATGAGGGGTAGGCCTCCTCGGTCCTTGCACCGCGACCTACAGTGGTCTGTTGTGCTTAAAAAGGATGGGTACTCAACTTTTGTCATTAAAACTTCCACATCAGATTTACTCTACAGAAGTGGATCCCTTGCTACAGAACAGAAAAGACAGATGAAAGAGAGACCCACAAAAGGGATATAATTACTTGGCAGAAACAGGAATTCTATACACTTTAATATCCTTTATCTTCAGAATTATGTGCAAATGTTTTCAAACACACAATAAAGTGAAACAGAGTCTATGCTTAAACACATGTCTCCCTCTCTAGTCCCATTTATTTTCCCATTCATAACCTCAATGGCTGCTATAAACGAAGCAGAAGGGTGGAATAATGACATATATTGCAGAAATAGGTACTCTACATTTGTAAAGAGTAATTTCCACTGTTATATTCAATTTATCTGCATGAGGTTGCGGATGATACAAATTGTAATCCCCCTTTTTGAATTCAAGTTTGTTATGCATATATTTAATTTATTCCTGGTATGATTAATGACTGTATATTTTCTACACATTTTCAGGATGTCTTCTTCTCTGACCCTACCCCAATTTATTACGTCCTATACATATATAAACAGGACTCAGTACATTGAAATTGAGGTTTTCACAGTGATGGGATGTGATGCTGTGTAGTCTTGTAGATGTTTACTGATTCAGATGAATGTACTGCCTCCATCTTCAGGGTTGAAGAGTAATTAAAGAAAGCAGACAGCAAGTATACGCTTGCTATGCTATCAGATCACACATATACATATTTTAATCAAGCACATAATAGGAATTTGGTTAAAATATGTATATGTATGACCTGGTGATGACTGAATGTGATCTGTTAAAAGAGTTATATGCAAGAACAGATTGTGTATGATGGCACAATGCACTTGTAATCATTAAATAAATAAAAGATAATTCTCTGCATTGAATTACATACCTATATACTTCCTATATATTATTATACAATCTAAGCAGTTGAGTGTTGAGTTATCCAAGAAGACAGATAAAGCAAACAAACAGGCTATGGATTCAAGTGGGGCAGAACTGCTATTACTTTTAAGGTCACTACAAGTTTTTCACATGTTTCTGTTTATTTATGACATTCATTTTGCTTTTTTAGGCTATTTGCTTTACCATAAGGGTTTAACCCATACATTAAGCAAACTATCTCTGAGAATACATCTAAAGGTGTGTCCACATTACTCATGCTCATGCATCAGAAGCTTACTGGTGCCGGAAAATCAGGATCTGAAGCTGACAAAGTCGACGCCCAAACAAAGCCTTCGCATTTCTTCACGACGGACATCAGCTCCAGATCCTGATTTTCCGGCAGCAGTAAGCTTCTGACGCACGAGCACGAGTAATGTGGACGCATCTTAAAGTTTTCTGCACAAATGAAATAATAAATGCAAAGTGCCAAATAGCAAAGGCCACAATAAGAAAATTTACACTGCCATTCAGCAACAATGATCATTATACATGTAAATGCTTCCAGTAGCTCAATTAGCTTACTAAAAAAATTAACTACAGTCAGTACATACAGCAAGATAGGGAAAACGGTCCAGACAGAGAGAGAGAGAACTTGTGCTCATCTTGTTTTTATGAATTAAAGAGAGAGAGAGAACTTGTGCTCATCTTGTTTTTATAAATTAGAGAGAGAGAGAGAGAACTTGTGTTCATCTTGTTTTTATGAATTAAAAGTTTTACTGCTGTAATAAGTGGAGAGAAGGACAACTTTCTTTTTATTGCCAAATACTGATTGCAATATGGCTCCCCTCTCCTGCTCTTTACTTGGGCTGTTGCAATGAACATTAGCGGGGGCATCCAAGTTCATTAAGTCCAGTGGGTGGGTTGAACAGCTGCCATATGGACAAACTGCCCTGCATGTCAGGCATGGGTAATTATTTTGCCTGGTGCAGCACATCGCCAGTTTATTTATCGTTAACCTTCACATGCCATATATTTCTATCAATATAAAAATGTGGATGTTTAATTTATGTAAACTACTTGCACATACAAGAAATTAATGTTATGCCTTCATAATTCTTTTAATGCTAGTGGGGTGGGACTAAGTCCCTTGTACTGCGGCCACTTCTGGCCTATTGTACCAGCCCCAGATGATAGGTGAGGGTGATTGTGGAGCAATTGGTGGAATGAAGATTGGCAGGGAAAACCGAAGTACTCGGAGAAAACCTGCCCCAGCGCCACTTTGTCCACCACAAATCCCACTTGACCAGACCCGGGATCGAACACGGGCCGCCACAGTGGGAAGCCAGTGACTAACCACTTGAGCTATGCCGTGGCCCTGCCTTCATAATTAGTAACAGCTAAAAAGTGTTCAATCTTGGCAACACAAGATACTGGCCTACTTAGTCCAAAAGTGTTCTTTCTCTTACTACTGTTAACCTTTCAACTAATTAATTACTTAATCACAGTGGTTAATATATGTACTGCCTACTGTACAATTAAATTTCTGTATTTTAGCCAAACAGTGTATTCACAGGTGTCATATAATTCTCAGAATAAACAGCAATTTTTAATATTTACATTAATTTCATTCTTCAGTCAATTAAATTATGTTTATAATATAAATATATATAGGAGACATGGACACTGAATATAATTTGTTGGCCTTTCAGTATATCATGGCCAATTTGAATAGGCTGTAGGACTGGATTTTGTCTGTCCCTGCCATGTGCTCTTCTTGTGGCCTACAGACAATACTGCAAAGGGAAACCGAAAATATGTTTAATTTGACCAGGTGTTCCATATGCTTCTGATTTCAATATATAACTAAGTAGTTTCATGGAGATGAGCCCTTCCTGAGAAGCCACCAATTGTGCAGCTACGCAAAAACTTTCCAGCATTTTATGGAACCTGATGGTTCATTACCATGTTCACAAGAGCCATCCACTGGTCCCTGTCCTCAACCAGATCAGTCCAGTCTGTACCAGACCATCCTATCTCTCTAAGATCCATTTCAATATTGTCCACCCACCTACATCTTTGTCTTCCTAGCGGTCTATTTCTTCTGGCTTTCTCACCAATATCCTACATGCACTCCTCTTTTATTCCATTCATGCTGCATGCCCTGCCCATCTTGATTTCAATATATTTAGCACAAAATTTGTAGCCCTTAAAAGTCTTCTTGTAGACTGATCTGTTTTTCACAGAGATTGTTTCAGGTATGTTGGAATCAGTCTAAAAATCCTGATAATGTTATATAACTATTCCTAACTAATATTATATTTAAGCATCATGTTACACTCTATATGATAAATGATATGAACTCCATCCCAAGTGCAAACAATATATTATATGTCCTTGATCTTGCTCTCCTTTACATTACATGTTTCGGCCTCAAACGGCCTGTGGGAACATCCCACATTATCACGCATTTCTGCAACGCTCGCTCTTCACATCACTTTTCACCATCATGCGCGCTAACCAATCTGATTGCTTCAAACGTTCATATTTATACTGGGATCGCTCCTGGCCCGCATCAACGTCATTACGCGCGCTAGCCAATCAATTCTTCCTCCTCACTTTCGAGTTTGGCTCCGCCCCACCGACCAGCATATAAAAAGGAGCGACTCCAAAGCCGAGTTATTCAGTTCAATTCAGTTCCACGCAGTTCATCATCAGTCTACAGGCTAGCCACATCAAGCAACTTCAGCCAGCAGGCTTCGTCGCCAGCGCTCGGTCTTCGGAGGTATCGGCAGGCTGCGCCAGGCACGACCGCCTCGGCCCTCCGGC